GTGACCGTCACACGGGCTCCTCGGTCTGCCACAAGCTGCTGGTCGGTGGGCACCTCCTCCTCCACCTGCTGCCAGTAGTGCACCCAGCTCCCATATGGATGTGGCCTATCACTGGGAGCATCGTCCGACATAGCCTGCCTGTCGAGGAGCCGAAGGTTCCAATGGCATCGCACGAGCTTCTCGGCCCGCGCCACCTGCAATCTGTTACGAGATTTGGAGTGGATGAAACTCCAACGGGACCAAGCTCTCTCGCAAGGCGACGCAGTCGCCCACACACGCAGTATCCTGCCAGCGAAGAAGGCCGTGTGCGGGAACCTCTTCTCCTTCGACTCCCAGAAACAGGCTGGATAGGTATAGCTCCTCGCCGCCCAGTCCATGGCCACGTCGTCGAACGGCGGTTCCCTGGAATAAAACTTGTCAATGGCACTGAGGACCTCGGTGTGCTGATCCAAATGTTCCGGGTACCCAAACCGAATCAGAGCGAGTTTCAAACCGTGCTGCATCTCCTCGTCATCTGGCATCGTGCGGTCTGGAAACTCGGGGTCCAACATCATGGCAGCAACATGAGCAGGCGACTTGAACATGGTGCGGCGTCTGTCAAACACTTCAAGCAGCGCGTCCTGCTCGTCCTTCTCCAAAGCGGCACATGCAGACAAACAACGCGCGATCATCTCGTCGTATCGACGCAGAATCTTGCCAATCTGCCTCGTGTCGCTGTCCACCATCTGCAGCATGTCCATGATGGGATCCAACAACTTGCACAGCGCTCTCATATCCTCCCACCATTGAGGACAACCGACACATGCTGTGACCTCCGCGGCGTCTCGAATCTTCTTCGTTGACCAAACAGTGTCCTTCCATCGATCATCAACGACYACCTGCATAAGATGCGATTGCAGCAGAAGAATTCGTCGCATCATAATCACATGCGTACCGAAGCGARTCTCGGCGGGAAGCAGCAGAGCCTTCGTCGTGAAAACTTGCAAAACTTCGCGAGCGTGGCTATGACGCTTGAAAAACTTTGTGACCAAACGCGCCTGAGCAATGCGGGTCGCCACCCAGTCAATGCYGCCGATGTCCTCAAGGATGAGGTCCATGACGTGTGCCACACAAGGAATACAGAAGATGTGCTTGACACTCTCATCCTTCTGGAACACCTCCATCGCAGAAACGTTCGAACTGGCAGAGTCTGTGACGAAAGCGGTGATSTCGGCGAGCTTGATGTCAAGGGACTTCAACCTTCGCAGCCAAGCCTGTGCCAGAGCAGTGGCATCCTTCTTTCCTCGCATAACATCTGTCACGACGTATGTGGCGCCCCGTGTAGTGCCGACGAGATAGTTGCACAACGTTTGGCCCCGAATGTTGGTCCAACCGTCTGTTATTATCGTGCAACCGTAGGTAGCTGCAGTAGCGAGGACAAGTTTCACACACTTTTGGACTTCCACATCAAGCTCATCCAAAAGTGTGGTACGGATCATGTGATACRTTGGGGGTTKTGGGGTGGGGACTCYTGGAACCCCAGGCGGGATGATCAACGTCAACATGCGTTTGAAGCTCTCAAGCTTCACACAGTTGAACGGCATGCCGCTCTCGACAATGAATCGCATGATCTGCAGGTGCCATGCGTGCTCCAGCGGGTCGTTGTAATACGAGGTCACCGCGTGCTGCCTGTAAGTGCCCCTCACTCGTGCACCGGCGCCCATACCTAGCGAATCCCACACCCCGCCCCCGGCC